AGCGTTAATATAAATAATTCTTTTTTTTAATTATTAATTATTATTTATTTTAACTTTTGCTATCTAAATTAGCTCTACGTAAAGCTTTTAAAGTAATAAAGGGAATTCAAGTATATGATGATAGGGTTCCACAAATCAATCAAGAAATTATGAGTGCTACTGAGAATGCATCTTCTCCATCTGGCATACAGTGTTCATCTTCAGTCAACCAAATTTTTGAAAGTAAATTTTGATATTTGTTACAAAAATTTAAATAACTTGCGTATTTTTTTTTGTGAATTTCATGTTTGCTAATTCTTTTTTTATGTTTTTGTAAAATTTGATAAATTATTGAGTTTTTAGATCTCAACAGTTTTGTGGCTAAGATTGGACAAAAACGCACATTAATATTGTGGATTGGTAATGTCGTATTTCGTTTGATACAGAATTCGCACAGGAGTATTTTTTGATGTCGTGTTGATGGCATTTTAGTTTGAATTAAATATTTTCGTTGAAGCTATAGGCGCCTTTTATATAATTTTATTATTCATTAAAATTATAAGAATTCTAATAATAGTACAAAAAAATTAGCTATTCGGACAAAAGACCTTTTGCAGAGTGAAAAACAATTTTATTCTAAAAAAGGTTCATTCTTTGTTTCAAGAATTTACTCACAAAGCTAGATAAATAATTAGCAATCGCTTATCCATCCATTCTAACAGAATCTTAATTATGTAAGAATCGAATATTCTTGATTTCTATGATAACTTATAATTAAAAGACGCGTGAGAAAATATTTGTTTCTTAAAAACATTTACTCAAAATATGTTACTAATACAAATTGTGTAAACACAGCGTGTAAAATTTTTTGCTTATTAGTGATAATTGGAGCGATTAACTCGGAAATTATCAAGAATATTCTTTCAAAATTGACAATCTTTATGTGAAAAGTCTTTGTATTGTATCTTTAATTAGGTAAGGATATTAAACAAAAAAACGCGCGTAGTTATTGGACTTTGCCAGTAAAATTAAGTACTCTATACAAATTACGTTAATTAATAAAAATTTTGGTTTACACGTAACACTTGACCAATGTTATTTTTTTGTGTATATGTAAGAGCATTTGTCATTATTTCAAGAATCAGCTAAATAAACTAATTTATATATATCAGATATCATAGTTGTTAATTTATTTTACATAGACTTAATTTTTATTTCTATACAAAGTTATTCAAAAATTAATTTAGCTATTTATAAAGTTATTTTCTCAATAAAACAAGTCTTACACGTGTTGATCACCCTCGTTTTTACTAGTGCTTACTAAAACTACATTTCTTTGTTTAATATTTTTATCTAATTTAAAGCTTATTGGCTTTTCGCGCGTAAAAGTTATTTCGCAACTATTCCTTTAATTTACTTATTATTAATTATGAAACAAAAAGAGTTAAACAAAAGGATTTATCAAACGAATGCTATAATGCGTAAAAATTTTTGCTAATTGGTGGTATTGGGTTTAGTTATTTATATCATTTCTTAACTATAAATACTGTAATTCATAAGATTTCAGTAATTAATTATTTAAAGAGTCATTCTTGAATTTCACGCTCAAAAAAAATATCAATACAGCAACAAACATGAATAAAAAAAAGTCTAATCCATCACTAAGAATTCAAAATAACCCTGAGGACCAAAATCTTATAGTTCCAGTTTACGTTGATCAGAAATTCGAATTCTCAGATGAGATAAAAAATGTCAATGATGTCTACACATTCCAACATTTTGTTAAAATTCTTTGCCGGAATGTTAGTAATTTTGATAAACAAAGGGGTAAGGACAACATCCAATATTCTTTGCATATAATGAGTGAGACATTTTTGGATTCTAAATACAACTACTTGACGAATTTATAGACAAACATGAGATATTTCAACATCAACATCTTATTCATCTTGGTTAAGAATCATGAGCATGTATCCACATGGAGGAGCTTTTTGATGATGTTATTATCACAATTGATCCGATATATGATTTAATATTTAGATACCAATCAGATAACATTCAAGAATTTACAACTATCCTTCGAAAATTTAATCTACAAACTTTTCTCAACGTTTGTGAAAATCACAAAAATGCCACTATTTACGATAAAACATCTTTAAATTCATATTTTAATGTTAAGAATATCAAGGTTAAAAAGAGGACTTTAATGGAATATCAGACCAAATTAACACAGGAAGAAATCGACATCCTAATTTTTAGATATCTGAAAGCTGGGAAATATATTAGGAAATGGAAACTAAGAGGTGGATTTAATCCAAAAAATTACATTAATCAAAAAAAATATTTCAATACCCAGACACTTAAAACGATCGAAGATGCTGTCAAGAAATTTTCGATTATATTCAAGAATACTTGCAAGTGCGAGCGACAATTTTTCTTCCACAATCTGATAAATTACATTTTAAAGTCAATTAATCCAAGACATACAAAAATGAGACATAATATGATAGGACAGCACCAGTAAAAGCCCGTACATGATCAATTGAAAGAATTAGTACTTTTTTTTTTATCGAATTTATACCTATTTTCAAAATTCTTTGCTAAATATTACTCATGACGGTCATGACCGATCAATGATTAAATAGAAAAATCAACCTGCCTCGCAAAAATTTTCAGATCATGTGACTTTGCATGATTAATTATATGTTTTATTTTTAAATAAAATTTTTTTTATTGATATAAGTGAAATAATAGTAGTAATGCCGACTAGACAATTTTATTTTGGAATCTATCGTCCACTTTAATGGAATTACTTTAGAAACTTTATGTAATGCAAATAATAATTAAAAAAGGATACTTTTTAGGCCACGCAAAGTTAATGTTTCATTTTGCATTACCCGCGGATCCATTTTTTCAATTTTTCAAAAAAAATTTTTTTTTTTTTTTGAAGTCCCAATTGTGCTAATTATTCTATTTTTGCTATTTATTTTTTTTCCATATTTTTTCTGATTTCACCCAACGGAATACCGGAATTATCCGATAGGACCGATAGAAAAAAATTTGATCGCTAACCAAATTTTATAATTTCATGCCATGCAAAACGAAAAATTAACTTTGCATGGCCTTAGAGATGATCATAAGTCCATTAATTTACAGTAAACTAAAAAAAAAAAAAAAAAAAAAAAAAACCGCCCGCCGACCAATTTTTTAGATCCCATGTAATGCAAAACGAAAAATTAACTTTGCGTGGCCTTATATTAACACTAAGAATCTTACTAAATCACATAACTTAACGTCTGTATTTTTAATTATCAGTTATATGAATCGATTTATTAAAGCCAAATCTGGATCCGCTCTTTCAAGAGATTATTAAACTTTATAGCTTTAGACCGGTTAGCTTTATTTAAAGTATAAATTGCGCAAACGAACGTAACTAATTTAATTTTTTTTAGAGAAAAGTATATAAAATGAAAATATTTTACTCGGATTAATGACACATTCTACTCACTAAACTGCTTAATTTTATATGGAAAATTTCGGCCGAATTTTGGTATCAGGATATAAAATAAATTCAGTCAGAAATTTAGAGAAAGCTAAGTGCTTTATTTTGTTTAATACATACCAAAATTAGCTATTCAGACAAAAGACTGAAAAATGTAAGAAGCAACCAAACATTTATTTAAAATTTATTACTAATAAAGATTACGTTATCGCGTGAGTAAAATTTTCTTTGTTCATGCTTATCAGTATCTTTTCTGAATGATTCACAAAAAAGTAACTTTACGCGTAATCTCAAACTTGAAGATTTCTAAGAGTAAATAAAAATTAAACCAATGAAATGAGTCATTATTTAGCTTGTATTAATATATATTATTTTAAAATTCAAGAATTTAACTCACAAATATATAAATGTTAATGCAGATCAGTATATATGTATATATTCAATTACTATTCAAAGCTAAAACCGAGATAATACATTAAGGATGTATAAATCGAATTTTCATATTCCAAAGCTATCTCTGTAGATTAAAGAAGTGAACTACAAATAGTTAACCTCTGGATTAACCATTCGGACAAAAAGACCGAATATACATATAAAAAAACAAATGAATTCTTAGTAAAAAAATATAAAAAGATGTATTTCAGACTCTACAAATACATTAATAGCACTCAATCGTAACTTAAAAAAAAATAATCCACTACTCTCAGAAGAAGTTCAACAACTTGACTTAATAAAAAATAATCTGCTAATCTCAAAAGTAGTTAGACACGTTGCACTTTCTAAAAATCTAATTTTTATTGCCGGGGCTGGTATTTCTTGTAGTGGAGGGATACCCGTAAGTAATCTCTATTGATTTTAACCCACATTTTTAATTAGTTGAAGAATTATAATTTTTATATTACCAATAGGATTTTAAAAGTTCAAATAGTCTTTTTGAAATGATAAACCAAAAATATTTAGGTAGCTTTCGTTCGGTCAGATACTTATTTGATGCTAATTTACATATATCTGACAAAGCTGTTAAAGCATTTTATAATTTTATTGGTGAATTAAACAAATTAGTTTTAAAAACTGAACCCACAGCTACTTATTTGTTTATAAAAAAATTGGCAGATATAAAAAAATTAAAAAGAGTATATACACAAAATATAGATAATCTCGAAGAAAAAGCAGGATTAGAAGTTTGGAATTTTGAAAAATTAAAATATTGCGAATCACAAGTAGTTCAATTGCATGGAACATTAGAAAATTTACAATGTAAACTTTGTACAAATGTCTATTCTTTTACACAAGAATCTTGTGATATTTCACAAAAGGTGAAATTCCAAATTGCCTGAATGTGAAAGAAGAGGTAAATACATAGCATCAATTATTATCATATAAAAATAACAAAACCAAGTATTAACGACTTTGATAAATAGAATACGATAGATATTTACAAGAAAAACGAAAACATACTGTTGGAAAACTAAAACCAGCAGTGATCCTTTATGGTGACAAACATCCTAACGAATTAGAAATTAGAGAAATCGCAGAATATGATCAAAAAAAAGCCGATTGCTTGTTAATAATAGGAACTTTTTTAAGAATTCCTGGTGTGAAACGTCTTGTAAAAAAATTTGCTAAAGCAGTTCATGAACGTAAAGGTTACGTGATAATGGTGAATGCTATGAATGTAGTTACTAAAGAATGGAATGGGGTCATTGACTATCAAATAGTAGGTAACTGCGATGTGTGGGTTGAACTTGTTGACAAAGAATTATCAAACGTCA